CCGGTCACTACAGACCGGAAATCGCATTCTTGGAGTACGTACTATGTATGATATACAGGTTAACGTAACTCAAAATAAACTGAGTATGCCTGTCATATGTACGTGTTATCAGGTAAGATGTGATGGGTATGGTGACGGGTAGATTGATTCTTTGCATTGTAGTTGGTTGGTTGCAAAGATACACTGTGGATTCATGATACCAGTGTGCATTGGTTATTCCATTGCATCATAAATTAGACAAGTATGACATAGTGGTCTTAGCTTATGACAAATCAATCTTTTTTTCTGCTTCATGTATGTTTATCTGTTTGGTGCATGCAATGATACATTGTATAAATTTGTCTTGCAGGAAAAATCTGTGTCTGTCCAAACTGTGCTGCCATATGATCTGTCAATAAAGATGGCTTCATTGAAGGTAATATTTAATATACTTTCATGACTTGTTTAATTATCTCAGAATTTCATAATTCTTGAATTTATTCTATAATTTGCTTTTTCAGTTTGATGTTGTGGAGCATGTCCACTCTGATGAGCCATTTCTGTTATTAACCGATATCAAATGCACATCGCCCTGGCCAATCACCATAGAGAACAGTCAACTATTGTTGGTAAGTGTTTTTTGTTTAAATGAAGGCAGTTCCCACTCTGTGATGTCATCATTCTAGCCATCAACAATTTAGATATACTGGATAACTACTGCCAACATTCACTTGATAATAACTTTTTCTCTGAACCTTATGAATTGTATGGATCAATGGAGGATTTGCTTTGAAGGATGTGAATCATTTAATTTCTATTTCTGTTTGGCATGGGCTCCTTGTGACATGGACAACTTACAATAATTTGTTTACATGAAGCTGTGTGATTTCCTATTCTTACCAACATTTGTCTTTTCATAGTCTGATGAGGTGAAGTCTGTTGATGAAACATTACAGTCACAGTTGATATCAGGTATGTACTCTGCTAAGACTAAGAGATGGCACTTTTGAAAATGGGGAGGATAAAAGGGTTGTGAAGTAGTGTCAAATGTCTCATAAGTGTCAATCCTAAAAGTTCTGTTCTTCTATGAAATGCTAAGAATGCAGTCATTTATATCTGGTACTTGAGTACAGTGATTGGAAGTGTGAATAAGATACATTATTATACATCTTCTACAGAAAACAATAGAATTTGTTGTTTCGTAGAAAGCTAAATATTCACAGCACTTGTTCTAAAATGTATCAGCGAAAAATCAAAATTTTCACTTATACGAGGTAAACTACATCACCAACATTGAAAGGTTACACATTATAGACGTCACATTTGAATTCTTTCCTTTGTTTACATTGGACGTAGAAGTACTAAAGTGCATGATGGGAATAGAATCCAATCTCTTATGCATATGTTCGCACAGCGCAAAACATTTTTTGTTGTAATCTGGGCTCCATTCTCTCGATAAATTATTACATGTACTACAAGCAGGAACAGGATGTATAATAATTCCAGGTTATTACATGAATACCACAAAGTATGATCTCGAGCAGTATGGGTTGTATTGACCTCCATTATGTGTCAGTCGATACGATCACCATACTACCTTAGTGCACATTTTGCAGTATTGTTGTGAAAACCTCATAATGTATTTGTTTTATTTCAGTGTCGTTAAAACAAAATGAATGTGCAAGTGAATGTTACTGTCTTGTGGCACCAGTTCATCATCAACACACAACTGTTCCTATTGGACATTATTCTGTGCAGTGGAAAAGGTTATATTTTTATTCTTTCATTATATAAATATCTCACATTTACTTTTCCTTGAGCTAATCGTCAACATAAAATAGAAGAGTTTGTGAGCGTTGAGACTGTATGCTTGTAGTCATGTAGGCTTTGAATGTAATCGTGGGAATTATATTTCTTTAGTAATCTTGTAATCCCGTAAATCACCTTGTAGGTCATCATTGTAATTCTGTATTTCACATTTTTAATCACAGAAATAAAAATGGTTCATACCCGTAGTACTGTATATCATATTGTTGATGAATAAACATGTGTGATATGCAAACTCTGTTTTCACCTGTGCATTGTAATTTGTAGGACAAATTGTGAAGAAGAAGGTCTGCCAACTGTAGAGACAACATTAGCTCTACCTAGTATCACTGTAGAGACCATTCCACTATTCATAGAAACTAAGATTCCATCACATGGCCGAGTCAGGGACTCCTTACATGTCACGTATACTATATATAATAAGACACAGATGGTGCAAGAGGTGGAGGCTGGAATGGAGCCATCAGAAGCCTTTATGTTTTCTGGTCATAAGCAGGTATAGATCACTGTATTCCTAATTGTAACCATAGACTCTGACACTTTAATATCACAAAAAAATAAATATTTGAAAATTTTGGATGTAAAGGAAAATTGCAGAATGTAGTAGCAGTGCATACCAGTAATTAATTTGGGAGTCGGTCACATTTACTTTCATTGAATTTAGTTTCTGTAATCGTGATCAAATAATCATTAAGTGAAAGTGGTCGTGATATATGGCAGAAAGTAATCAATAGATGTGTCAAGGGCAGATTTCATGAAAGGCTCACAAGCACAGTGACATGTAACATGGTTCATGCTGAAATCGCATCACACAAGCAGTGTATCCAAATTAAGCGGGTATACCTCAATTTTCAATTAAATTCATGTTTGGTTAGCCAACTCAGGAACACTAGTAATACTTATCTTAAACTGATTCCTTGTTACAGGTTTGTTTTAGAATTCTACCAGTTAGTCAACAAGTACTGATGTATAACTTTTATCCACTGGTCCCCGGACATGTCAAGTTGCCAAGGTTACACATAAATATGCCACGTTATCCTGGTGTAGCAGATGATTTAGGAGGCAGGATGTTGCCAACACATATATTTATTAAGGTGAGGCATGCATTTATATCTCTTCCCACTATGACAGCTGTATGCAAGTGTTTATATAACTTTACAATGTAATACAGTAAAAAATATCTATAATTAATAAGTCATCCAAATTACATGATTTCATATAAATGACATCAAAATCTATCTGATCATGTTTTTGAATATACCTTGTTGAGAGTGAGTGCCACGAGACCTGTTTTCCATTTACTCCCATCATGTTTACTGTTTTCCAAATACCATGATTATTTATGTCAAAATTAGTGGCTGTTTTGTTCTCAATTAGATTTTGTCTTGAACTTCTATTAGAGAGCATGTGACTAGTTGAATGGAAGCATAAGAAATTGATATTGCTGCAAAACAGATTACATCAATCATATTCTCATAGTTTTCATGGAAACACATGTATTCTAAAGATTATGTGTTATCCTTCATCATGTTAATGATAAGCTTGTACAAAATTTTCTATTTTTGTTTTGTAACTCATGTAAATATGAACAATATTTTGAAAGGGTACTGTGGAATGAGCATTACTAGCAAGTCAAGATATGTAAACCTGAGTAATACCTATAAGATAACATACTACCTGAACTTCACAGTCACTTATCCAAAAAACAACATATCTGCTTTTTGTTTAGAGGAAAATCCAGAGATGCTGATGGCTAAATCATTCCAGTGTAAATTGTATGTGTAACATCATATCTTTACAACAACTTTGCCATTACTCAGCATAAGCTATTTGTCTTGTTTGTTGCAGCCACAAGGGAAAGAATTACATGAGTCTGCGTCTGGATGATACTTTAATCAATGATTGACTGAAACAGAAGATTTGTCATGCCATTATTGGTTCATATTTACCTTAAACCTGTAACGCAGTCATCATCAACAATTCTGGCATGGTTCCACTGATCCTGTGAATATTTAAGTCACCATGGACATGTTTTTCTATTATGAACAAAGTTTGTAAGCAGAGTGCAATATTGGTTTCTGAAATGAATAATAGTGAGAATTCTATTATATAAGTGAAATATATAAACATGAAGACCCTACATTGCAGCTTCAATGACAAACATGTTCATATATGTAGGTTTTATCAGCTTGTTTATCAGGTAGCCCTCTATAGTTTCAAGTGGGAAATATATTATAATCGTGTTTTAGATTGGGTATGAATAACTAAGAAGTATCTGGTCTATAATATTAATAGACTTTATAACTATTGCTAGAATATGCATCTTAAATTTCAGAACTACTGCTATATAAAACTTGAACTCTAAAAACTATTGAAATCACTGGATACTGTCTATGAATATGTATCATATGATTTAGTCTCTTCCAGATGATGTTATGATACATGTATATTTGATTTGGATAAATTTGTGTAACTATTGAATAAATTATACGATTCCAGATTCGTACTACTGTTTGTTCTTGTCAGAAGAATTCTTAAACAGATTAATTGATAAGAATGCAAGAAGAAAGTGGAACTGACAAGCACTGATTGTTTTCCTACTAAGATTAACTTATCTGATATAGTGACATATGCTGTAAAGGTAGTTTGGCTGTGTGGTTTATTGACGGTATTTATAGCACAAAATGGCCAAAATTGTTGGCATTTGTTTCTCAAGAGTGATATCTGGTCAGCTTTATATTTTGCATGTACCGGTATGTATGAAGCTTCATATGAAAAAAATTAAATAATTTTGATCAGTCATGTGGTCTGGCTGTCAATTTGAATTTTTTTCAAAAATAGATAAATGTAAAATTTGGTTTGTATCTATGTAATAAGTGCATAATAATCTTACAATCTCGTTATCTGATCGCAGATAACGTCCTATCACTTGACCTTAAAGGCACACATTGTCTAGTGTTGTTGTAGGAGGGGGCTTCTGTATAAAATCAACAAAGATGCTACCATTGTTTATTTTAGGAATTATAAACAATAATATAAGGTTATTACGAAGATACCTCAAAGATGCCGAAATCCAAAATGTTAAGACAGAATCACCAAACTTTTTTGTTTGGAGTCCGGTCAAACTCTGGTGGCAGCCATGTTTGTTTTTATTATTAGAGGACGCTTACGTGCATAATCATTCCATATTTGGAATTTGCATTTCCTATTATGGTAGGATGAAATTATCCTGTAAAATACCGCAGAAATTACGGCATGCTGTAACCTATTGCATTGGGGCGACAGATGTATAATTATAATTGTTACAAGACTGGAATTTGAATAATCCAGAGTGACAGCAAAGTTGACCTTCAGTCTAAGTGTTATTGTCCAGTGCTACTACAAATTCTTTCACAATAGAACACGTTCTACAGAACAATTTCAACATACCGGTAGTTACAATTTCCATATGATTTTGTATAGTTCTTCTTGCTTCGGTGCTCATAATTCACAAGAACTGTGGAATCAAGGAAGAAACTATGCGATCCTCACTAGAAGCTAGTCTACAAGCATCTTAGAGGATTACCTAAAATGCTCATTATATAGAGCAGTTGGGTGTTTAAATGCATACAATCCGCATTAGTTCATACAATAACCCTTCTGCTTGGACCCTACTGATGCTGCTTGCAGCTTTAATACTTCTGGATTTGTTGTGATACTACAATTTCATATACAATAATAACCTGTTATATTCTAGTCTACACATCAGTCAGATACATTAAAATATGCAACATTATGGATTTAACTTTAACTGTAATTTACCATGCATCAGCATTGATCCTGATCTCAAAGGTGGATCCTGTATCTCAGAGGTAAATCATGTTTCTCAACATTGGAGTGATCACACTTCATCAAATTTTATTAGCCAATGGTCATATTGTAGATCTTATTGCTGCATGTTTGTTGTAGGATACCTGGCATTTAACTGCATCCAGTAGCGGGATCCTGGGTCAGGGCATCCAGGGTTTTGAAGAGTGTATGAGAAACCACATTTTAACTACTACTGCTCCAGGTCTACATTGATTCAGGGCAGTAACACCTAACATAGTGTCCCAACTATGAGATATAATAAAATAGTAACTGGGAAAGGAAAACACTGAAAACAAACCAGGGATGGATAGCCCCTGTCAGTGATATGCAGGATGACAGGTGTCATGTACAATGCATAATTTGTATAGCTCTTGTTTTTGAACATGTGCACCAACTTCACAGAGTGAACTACATTGATGGAATCTCGGCCTAGAAAAACCTCCATTATTCCTGCTAAACCTCATTCTGCATCACTCGTCACATGGCTGAACATGGCTCAGTGTTTGGAAAATCAACTACAGAACCAACAATAGTTCATTAAGTGCAAAGAGGCTATACTCTTATCAGCTGTAAATCAACTCCAGGATTTAATAGCTTCAGCTATTGCCCTGGACATACCTGTATATGTCATCTGTATCCAAAAACATCTCTTCTATCAAATTGACAAGGACAAGGTCAATTGGAATGGTCATTTGTATCAGCATCTGCTTGGAAAAACTCCACAAATTCCACCATTGATGGAGTTGGTATGCTGCTCTGCCCTATAACCGTCAAGTCACAGCATTGAGAATATACTGGTAAGAGTAGTTATTGCAACCTTCAATGTTAGCTCGGCCATAACCTTGCTACTCCCCTACAAACATAGCTGATAAGAAGATGTCAATTGCTCTTTTCTTTCTTTCACAAAAACATAACTTTCTCTTATTTGTGTAGCTCACATTTGAAGACAATCTTAAGATTTCTGTAATCTCGTATAATTACATTCAGAAAAATATGTGAAAACTAGGTCATTAAAACAATGACAATTTTTTAGTTCATGTTCACTGAATGATGAAGTAAACCTACGAATTAAACTACACAAGTTATGGACTCTTTAAAGCTGACTGGTGGGATTAACTATAAAAATAAAGTTAAATTATTGATACATGTATTCCCATACTAGCAATATAGAATTAATCTCCCTTTGATGAAAAATGTCATTATTGAAATAAGAATCAAAACCTGACCCATTGAATAACCAGAGGTTGAATACAACTGAATTGTTTATAAAAAAAATTAATACTAGATTTGATAATAAAAAAAAAAAACTACATTATAATTAATTAGTTGATTAATGAAGTGTACAAAAAAATAGGTAAAGTATATAAAGTGTAGATATAGTGTGGATATATTCACATGTAAATGGCATCAACATTTATTGCGTAAAAGTACTTTAAATGCAGACTTTGCAATAATAACTGTATAATGAAAATACTGCATTTTTTACATGTATTTTTGGTATTTTAAAATTCAAATCAATATCCATAGTAGAATGACTATCGCAGAGTTTGCTGCAATATGTCATAAAACAACTCTTTCAGTGTGAAGATCACATTAAACTTATCATTAATTCATAAGGTTCAGAAAAAAATAAAATTGATGTGAAGTATTTTTTTCATTAATAACTGTCTGTTGTGTTTTTATGAAAATTTAATTCTGAGTGAAAAAAAAAGTAAATACCTCACCTAATAAATAATATAACTAATTCAATTGAATTCTAATGAGGCACTGTCAAAACTGAATTGTTATAAGCATTAAATGCCGACCAATTGATTGACAGCGTGAGTAGCAAATCAGTCAGCGTGTTATATCTGGTGATTTCTCAGATTAACTAAGACAAGCCATGGTCCGGCCATAGTTTTCTCGCTATTAACTGTAAAGCATCTGGCCTGTAAGTTTCAGTGTAGTAAGTGATGAGACTGTGGGTAGAGTTATTTGAGGCAGTGGTCGAAGCTGCTGTGGTCGCTGTAAGCAGATGCCAGAAATAAACTTTACCTGTTTGACAAATTTACGACTGCATTTCAAGAAAATGTTTATTTTAGCCAAATTCCCTGTGTTTTAGCCTTACCGCGCAGATGGTATGTTTCAGACAGTTTCTGATACCGAACGCCTGTAAAGAAATATAGTATAGTAAAGAAATATAGTAACTGTAGGTGCAGAATTAGAGGTTTTTCTAGACACTGTCACACGCAACGTAATATTACCGTAATTGGTATAGTACAGGTGTGATGGTTCAAATACCAAAATGGCAACAGTAACAGAAAGACTTCCCTGGCGGCGATGATAACATACGAACACGGAGTCAACAGATGAGGTTTCAACTGGTACTGGTATTATTATACTCTGCAAACATCAAGTACAATAACGCGGTAAAACTCCGCTACTCCAATAACTAGATACTTAAACTCCAATACATTTCAACGAGATCTTCGATCTGAACTCAGTGCTGAACAACTCCCCTATATATACCCACACTGTCTATAAATATACCATTACATCAGCATACATAATGAGTCTGGAACTTACTACCAATTTCTAGAATGTTCCATTACCTTCTATTGCCTCCTACAGTGTTCTATTACCTATTCAACCATTTTCTAAAAAAAATCTAGAATATTCCACCCAGACACAGTACGGTTCTAGAACATTCTCAGTGACACGGAAGTGGTAAATAAGTCGTATGCGACAGACACAATGATAACATTTGCAACTGTTTCACTCATAGACACGCGGTCCAGGATGTGAGGATAGCAAGCTGTTGATGGGAATTACTTTGTGTAGTAAAACAGCTGTTCCGAGTTCGGTGTTTGTGCATACATTATGAGAGTATGTTGTAACCTACCTTACAGGCATATGTGTTTGGTCTTATTTATTGAACTGTGAACATAGCTAGATATATAGAATAAGCTAATACCATTTGGGTGGCATTTTTTGTGTTTACATTGAAAATTAAAGGTCGGTGGTCGTCGCTCGTGCATGCGTGAGATATGGGGAGATGGCGACTTTGACATTGACGCTGCAGTTCGGCGTCTTCTACACCGATCTGACGCATATCGCGCTAGGTGTGCCGGGAATGTGTTCGAAATTTCGAACGTTTCGAAGTCAATCGTCGATTTCCACGTATTTTAAGCCTGGGGTGTATATCAAAGCCATAACATTTTTTAACAAGAAATCAAGAATATCACTTTTTACCAAAAATGACAAAAATATTCATGTAAAGTAGAGAATTGAAGATATCATGAAATGAACAAATCTTAGTGAAGTCCACCCAAGGTACATATACACCAAGTATCAAAGCAATCAGGCTTGTAGTCAAAAAAGTAAAAAGTTGGCGCGGACGATGATGAATAATCACTCATATGATAAGCTCCACTGTTGACTTAGAACAGAATTCGGGATCATTACTTTAATCAATCACTTGACTTCAAAGAATGCAGTGTTTACAACTTATTGTCCTTGATGAGAACAATGATTTATGACCAAGGCAACATAGATATATAAATATTATTAGAGTTTGGCTTAAGGTAAATATACTGATGTAATAAACAAGCAGCCTGTCGGCTGAGATAGCTCCGCTGTTAGCAATGCACATGGCAATTAAAGAACAGAAGATA